TGACAGAGTAATGGATGTATCGGCACGTGTGCTGTTACGCTTGTCTCCACATGCTTCCTTGTATCCTTCGCACTTGCCCTATCTGTTCCTCAAGCAGATGCGGTATCTTCCCTGGAAACATAAGATGTTGAAGATGAGTACTCGAGAGCAATGCCAGGTAAGTAATCAGGTAAGGGGTTCCAGGCAGTCAGTTCCTGGCTGGAAGCTTGATTCCAAGTGCTGACTGATTGCTCTCTTTCTCTCCTTGTCTTGCAGGTAACAACAAGGCCAAAGGGAAAAGACAGGGAAAAAGCATGATATGGGATACTCTTGCTTTTAACCCTGATGATTATGAGATATTCTTGCTCTAGTATAGCTTGTTTGCAAAGGTATTATCGGGGAGAAAGAAAGCTGAATATTTCGAAAGGCTTCGTTGAGAGTGCCCTCTCAAATATGAGGAAGGGTTGAACATTTTTGCAGGTCTGCCTGTCCGTTGGGGATGGAGGTCGACATATATAGGAGTCTCCCTAACAACAAGTAGTAATGCTATTCCTTTACCCTGCTTGGTCATAGCACGGTAGTGGGAGAGCTGCCAGCTTCACATGTTTTAACTCTGTCAGAGCACTTTGAAAAAGTGGTCTGTGCTCTCGAGAAGTCTTCGACAGAATGCCCATAATTTCCGCAAAGCTGAGTGTGCGTGTGACAGGTGCTGACAAGGCTAGAAAAGTAGGTGCCTCTTCGATTTCTGAGATCGGCCCTCGTGGTCTCTGAGCAGCCCAGCTTTTGAGAAAGCGAGCGTTCTCTTCGATTGATTCGGAGAACGATGCATCTTCGATTTTTAAGAAAGCAATCATGATGGGGGTCTGGCTCTCGAGATTCGGGGAGCAGTGTCACTTCGATTTTTGATAAAGTAATCATGTTGGGAGTCTGGCTCTCGAGATTCGGAGGGCGGTGCCTCTTCGATTTTGGAGCAAGCAATCTTGTTGGGAGTGTTTTCTCGAATGTGAGTAAAGGTTGGGCATGTTTGCTAGTCTACCTTGCCACGAAGCACAGAGGTTGACACACAAGGATTTTCCAATTATCCAGCAATGATACTGTTCCTTTACCCTCTCTTCGATTTTTGAGAAAGTAGTCATGTTGGGAGTCTGGCTCTCGAGATTCGGAGGACGGTGCCTCTTCGATTTTGGAGCAAGCAATCTTATTGGTAGTGTTTTCTCGAGTGTGAGTAAAGGTTGGGCATGTTTACTAGTCTACCTTGCCACGAAGCACAGAGGTTGACACACAGGGACTTTCCAATTATCCAGCAGTGGTACTGTTCCTTTACCCTTGTGGGTAATAATATGGTAGCTAGACCTTCAAAATTTTATGGGTCTAAACTTTGTTAGTGCTATTTCTTTGCTATTCTTTTACCTTTCTTGGTCAGAGCGATGTAGTGGGAGCTGCAAGCTTTACGTGCTCAATTTTGGCAGAGAACTTTGGCAAAGTTATCTGTGGTACCCATGAGCTAGTGTTGCGTGTGGGAAGTGGGTGATTGAACAGTAAGATTCATGTGTTTTCTACTTCCTCAGAAGTCTTCGACAGAATGCCCATAATTTCCGCAAAGCTGAGTGTGCGTGTGTGACAGGTGCTGACAAGGCTGGAAAAGTAGGTGCCTCTTCGATTTCTGAGATCGGCCCTCGTGGTCTCTGAGGAGCCCAGCTTTTGAGAAAGCGAGCGCCTCTTCGATTTCTGAGATCGGCCTTCGTGGTCTTTGAGCAGCCTAACTTTTGAGAAAGCAAACGCTTCTTCGATTTCTGAGATCAACCCTCGTGGTCTCTAAGCAGCCCAGCTTTTGAGAAAGCAAACGCCTCTTCGATTTCTGAGCAGGCGCCTCTTTCGATTTCTGAAGATCCGTCGAGTGCAGATTTTTATAGGGGCTGGCATTAAGTTCCAAAGCACACTTGAATCTCCACCAGTAGAAGCTCCATTCTTGCACTTCTAAGATCTTGATTTGTCCAACCTCTTCTCTCTTCAACACCTTTTGAAAATGTCTGGCCCCTCCGACCGTCGTTTTGACTTGAACCTTGTTGAAGAGGCAGCCCCGCCTTCTCCAGACAACATATGGCGCCCATCCTTCGTCTCCCCTACTGGTCCTCTTACCGTTGGGGATTCCGTGATGAAGAATGATATGACTGCTGCGGGTGGTGGCCAGGAACCTTCTCACTCCCAAAGATAACAGACTACTTTCCAAACGGTCTGATGAGTTAGCTGTTAAGGATTCGCTGGCTCTCAGTGTTCTCAGTGTGCAGGTTCTGTGTCTAATATGGCCCAACGCCTATTTGCTCGAACCGCCAAGTTGAATCATTGGCGGCTGAGGTGATGAGTCTCAAACAGGAGATTAGAGGGCTCAAGCATGAGAATAAACAGTTGCACCGGCTCGCACATGACTATGCTACAAACATGAAGAGGAAGCTTGACCAGATGAAGGAAACTGATGGTCAGGTTTTACTTGATCATCAGAGATTTGTGGGTTTGTTCCAAAGGCATTTATTGCCTTCGTCTTCTGGGGCTGTACCGCGTAATGAAGCTCCAAATAATCAACCTCTGATGCCTCCTCCTTCTAGGGTTCTGTCCAGTACTGAGGTTCCGAATGATCCCCCTCCGGTGCCTTCTCTTTCTGGGGCTCTACCGACTGCTGAGACTTCTCCTAAGCAACCCTTGTGAAGGCTCCCTCTTGTTTGTTTATTTTGACTCATGTATATGTACACATTTGTAGCTTATCGGGGGTATCAATAAATAAGTTTTCCTTCATTTCAACGTATTGTGTTAAATACACCAAAACCTTCTTCGCTAAGTTCTTTGAATTTTCTTTTGTTGAAGCTTGTATGTTGAAGCTTTCCGAATGGGTTAATTTGAAGTTTTGGGTAGCATAGAAAGGAATGGAGAAAATGAAATGTTAGGAAGACGGTGTTTTTAGACTATATTTAAATTACATAATGTGATAATTGATTGTTGAATTTTATTTTTCAACGACTTAAAAATGAGTTTGATTATCAATTTGTTCATAATATAATTTATAAATTATATTTCAAGTAGATAATCTCTGAAGTATCATTAAAATAAATTTATCTGAGACACCCTTTAATCAAAAGTGATACTTCAAATCAAAGACTGTTCCTTTTCCCAATTGGGGGCTTTACACCCAAATCCCAATCTATGATGATAATTAAGAGCCACATTTGTTATTATAATCCATAATTTCTTCGGTTTAAAGTTTACAGTGTTAGGTTTTGTCAACCTGTATTGACAAATTTAACCTTCATAACCGTTGCAATATATGTTTTTTAAATTTTATTGGCCTAGTCAAACCTCATAAGTATGCATGGATGAAAAAAGGATAGATGAGTGTTAGTATAAGAGAATCCGTTAGGTCTTGCAAATCTTTGTGAGCTTAAGATTATTTGTACTCTAAGTTATAGACTAGTATATATTTATACATTTTGCTATCAATACAATTACAATTCTATATGGTATCATAGCGTTTAATATGATATACTATAAGTATCATCAAAATACCCACTAATAAGTGATTAAGCAACAATAAGTAAACTTCCAGAAGTCTTGGCAGGAGTGACAAAAGAGAAGAATTATATTTGTATTTAGGAGATTATTTGTATTTTTGCCTACCTTAATAAAATAGAAGTGATTCGCCCACCTCTCTTTATTTATTTATTTTATGATCATTGAATTGAATAAAATTACTCTCTGAAAAGATAAACTTTTAGATGGTGCTATCCACACACTCATTTTTACTTCTCACACACTTTCTTAATTTTTAGTCGTTGACTCAGATGTATCGAAAAGGTTCAACGACAAAAAATTAACAAAAGTGCATGGGAGGTAAAAATGAGTGTGAACAGTACTATCTTTTTTTTCACCATGGCATATAAAAAATTTCTTTGGATTGGATAGGCATGAAAATCCTGGCTAAGGAAATTTTGCCACACAAAACACTTTGATTATTGACACTTAAATTCCATAATTTCATCCAATCATTTACATGCATGATTTAAATTAGAGCATGAGGGATGAACTTTCTGAAACATCAATCCACAAAAGCAAATTTATCTATGGTTAATTCATAATGTTTTAACAGTGAACCTAGACAAATTGTTGGGGATTATTTACCAAAAAGAAGACAAATTGTTCAAGATGTTTCTAAATTGTAAGCCTAATTAATTGATTAAAAAAGAGATCAAAACTCAAGAAAACAGCTACCTAGTACAGAGAACTAGATCATATAGTCAAGCATTTGGTGTGTTATTTGTTTCCTTCAAGAGAAAATACAAGATTGTTTTTGGTTTTTAATGGGAAAGGAATATAAATTATAGACCTGTGTATTGACAAAGTTATCAAAGTTGTGAGTGCCTTATTAATAAAAACAAATTTATGTTTTAGTCTGGACCTAAAGTTTATGACTTTATGGACCTCCACCTCTAATTTATTTGTCAGTTTCTAAGTATGTAATCACAGGCTGCTGCTCTCTCATTTTCCCTAAAATAGTTGGCAGAGGTTTAGGTCGTAGGTTCAATATACATTGACGTAACAGTGGTATATTTGTAATGGAAAAATGCTATAATGAATCTAATTATCAACTGTTACATCATGTGATCTACAAAATAAATTTTTTAAAAATAATCTCTTTATTATCACCCTTTATAGTAATATCGATGCTAAGTTGTGACATAATACTGATAAATTACCAGGCCGTTATAAAAGCATTTTTTATAAATAACGTATCGTTTGTCGAAGAATTATATAAAGTTTGATTTCAAACAGGATTTTTTTAAGACACAAGGACAGTTTGGTAAGTAAACTAAACATCAGGGGCAAGCTAGATTTGCAGTTCCCTCCTGTTGATGGTGTTTGGGTTGACTCTCTGTCACCTCTCTCTACATGTTTGCCACTTTACCTTTGTAGCTTAATCAAATATTTTTTCTTAACCAGCTATTAATTCCCCGTCTCTGTTCACCTTATTTTTGCTTTTCCTTTACTGTTTCTCTCTCTCTCTCTCTCTCTCTCTCTCTCTGGTTTCCTCCATTGCAACCCAAGCTTCCTTTCCAGCTTGCTGAGGCCCCTCTCCTTCACACAGACATAAACACCCACCAACCATTTTACCCACCTTTTCTTTCTTTACCCTCTAAAATCCCACTCCATTTCACACACACAAATTCCCTCCTTCCCTCTCTCTCTCTCTCTCCCCCCCCCTTCCCCCACATTTTCCCTTCAAAGATTAGATTTTTGTCTGTCCTTCCCTCTCCTCCTCCTCTCTTTTCTTCCCCATTTTTTTTCTCAAACTTCTATGGTTTTCTGAATTCTTTTGGCCCACTTGAAGGCCACATCCATCCTCTGTCTCTACTTGCAAACTAATCCTCTGGAAATCCTTTGCCTTTTTGGACTTCTGGGTTTTGGTGGGTTTGTTGTGTTATTTTTCAGGTCTGCATTGGCCTCTCTATGCCCATTGGGTCTCTCTTGGTTAAAAAGGTAGCTCCTTCTCTGCTCCTCTGGCTGCTCAAGGAAGAAGATCAAGGGGGTTAGCTTAGATCGCTGCAAAGTGCAAAGGTAAGTGCTTCTCTCTTGGAATCACTCACATTTCTCTTTATTGGTCTCTTGCTTGGATTATAAGTGATTCTGTATGAGATTTTGATTCGCTTTTGTGATAGATTTGGAATTTAATTTGTATGTCAAATGTTAGTTTGCTTCATTTGTTAAGAAAGTATTGCTTAAATATTACCGGGGTTTTTATTGGGAATTATAAATGCGAGTCTAATCAAGGTGCTAAGTAATTTTTATTTTTTTGGAAAATAATCAAGCAGTTATCGTATCAGATTCCCCTTTTTTTGCGTTACTTTGGTTGTTCTTTAAGATGATCAATATTTGAAGACTAAGCTAAGAATTTAACGTCTTAAAATTGATTTGATAGGATTTTCTAGTACTTTTTATTGTGGAATTTGAGTGTTACATAGGATTAGGATGAAATAAGAAATCTTCAATAGCTGCGTGATCATTTTCGTGCGATTTGAGTTACATGACTTGTTTCTCATGTCCAGGTTGGAATGTCTTGATTTTCTTCTAGGCACTGAAAGTCAGAACACCAAGCCAGATTTGATATATAGCATCCGGAGGAGGATAAGAATGTCATCCGGGAGTTCTTTGAATGTGGAATTATCGAAGAAGATAGGATTTTTGGGTTTGAAACTATGGGTTGTGATCGGTATATGTGTTGGTGCATTTATTGTTTCGATCCTATGTTTCTTATCTATATGGGTTTCATTTCGGCGGAAGTCTCGACGATCAGTGGACAAGTTCCCAGTCACCCAAATACCAAATGTCTCTAAAGATATCAACATTGATAAGATGGGGGCTCAGGGTACCCATGATCACCCTGATAATTTATTTCGTTCAGAACATGATAAAGCAAGTGATAAGAAATCAGAGAAGATGTTAGTTCATTTAGGCACGAGCAAATCGAGTGATCCTGATAACATGAGTCAGTGCAGCTCAATTTATCATCATGAGAGAGCACTTAGTTCGCAGTCAGGGGAAGAAGGAAGCTCTGGGACTGGGCGAAAGCAGTCGTCATTATCATATGGAGGACCTATTACAGCCTCTCCTTTGATTGGCCTGCCTGAAGGTTCTCATCTTGGATGGGGCCACTGGTTTACTCTTAGAGATCTGCAATTTGCTACAAATCGTTTTTCTGCAGAAAATGTGCTTGGCGAGGGTGGATATGGGGTTGTTTACAAGGCCAGGCTGATCAATGGAACTGAGGTGGCAGTGAAAAAGCTCTTAAATAACTTGTAATGATTTATACTCAAGTGCACTATCTTGTTATCACGATGCTTTTCGGAAACACAGATTTTTTTTTTTCTTCTGATTCTTATAGATGCTTTTTTTATCTGGTGCGTAGGGGGCAGGCAGAGAAAGAATTTAGGGTTGAAGTGGAGGCCATTGGTAATGTTCGGCATAAGAATCTTGTGCGGCTCTTGGGTTACTGCATAGAAGGTGTTCACAGGTATTATTTTGATTTGACATTGTTGATATTAGTGCTGATGACTTAACCTTGTCAAGTAACATAATATTTCACATTAGTATGGGTTCTGTCTAATGCATCCCCTATCTTTTTCGGCCTATGATATAGCTTGCCATTTGTGTTTTTGGTTCAGTTTATTTTGTTCTTGATAAGTTGCTATCTATTGCATAGGATGCTGGTGTATGAATATGTGAACAATGGAAACCTAGAACAATGGCTACATGGGGCCATGCGTCATCATGGAACCCTTACTTGGGAGGCTCGCATGAAGGTGATTCTTGGTACTGCTAAAGCGTAAGTTTTCATCTTTCAACTAAATTATGTTTCTTATTTAACTTTTGTATTGTTAATCTTATAATTTCACTTGAGATTTAGCTAATAGTGAGACTCAATTTCGAAAACTGATTTACATACTGAATTGCAGGCTTTCTTATCTACATGAAGCTATAGAACCAAAAGTTGTCCACAGAGATATTAAATCCAGCAACATTTTGATTGATGACGAGTTCAATGCCAAGGTTTCTGATTTTGGATTGGCCAAACTCTTGGGTTCTGGAGAAAGTCACATCACGACTAGAGTCATGGGGACTTTTGGGTATGTAAATTCTTATGCTTTTTAACTCATGATAATTTATCTGCTACTTATCTTCTAATCGGAGCAAAAAACCGATCCATTATGCAGTTATGTGGCACCAGAATATGCTAATACTGGCTTGTTAAATGAGAAGAGCGACATCTACAGCTTTGGAGTCCTCCTGCTTGAGGCAGTTACAGGAAGGGATCCTGTAGACTATGGCCGACCTGCTAATGAGGTACACAATTTTCAGAAATATTGTTTACTGTTTCTGAGAGTGTTTACTCTTCCTTCGTTCCCATCCTCAGGAGACAGCATCCTTACCGGTTATGAAAGCTTTACTGTTATGTACAGAATTTTAAGAAGAATTTCTAAATACTTGTGGCAGGTCAATCTAGTTGAGTGGCTCAAATTGATGGTAGGTGCAAAAAGAGCAGAGGAAGTTGTGGATCCAAACCTTGAAGTTAAACCCAGTACGCGTGCTTTAAAACGCGCCCTTTTAGTTGCACTTCGGTGTGTTGATCATGATTCAGAGAACAGACCAAAAATGGGCCAGGTTGTGCGTATGCTCGAAGCTGATGAACACCCATTTCGTGAGGTGCGAATCCTCATCTTACCTGGAAATAATCTTTTAGATGTTTTATTATGTTCTATGTTTTTTCGTGAGACTGTTTATCTAAACGTGGAGTTTGTGCAATCTCATTTATGAATTTGTGTTTAAACTAACAAAACACTTTTCCTAGATTACTTCATTCTAGCATTAAGTAGTGATCAAATTGTCCATAGATATCTCTGAGGACTGATTAGCATGTGGTGATGAAGTTATAAGTTCATATTTGTTCCCATGCTCATAAAAATTGGGCGGTGTTATGAATCTTATTTTGCAAACTTGTACAATTCAGGATCGAAGGAACAGAAAGAGTCGTACAACCAGCATGGATATGGAATCTGCGAAGGAAAGTTCTGCCTCAGCTGACATAGAAAAGAAGGCAGGGGATCTGGAGAGCCAAATATCCAAGACAAGTCATGAATAGGACTGACAAACGCGTGAGCTTGGTGAACAATATTCCTTCCTCACCTCCCAGAGTAGCTTTCAGTAACCCGTCGACAGTATACAATCTCAGTTTCTTTCCAACAAAATTTCTAAAAAAATCTAAGAGAGGATTCGGATTGGAGATAGCGCATTTTGATCCTTAACCATTCAATCCCGGTCCTTGAAGAACGAAAGAGGTGCTCCCAACTCCATAATTTGGGAATTTTCAGAGAGAGAGAGAGAGAGAGGTAGACTCTTGTTGTACATATGTTGCTTGGGGACCAGTGGGGTTTCTCTTCAGATGGTGAAATGACTCCTCCTATTGTTTTTATTTATTTTTTCATTATTTATGTTTTTTAAGTTATCATTTTTCTGTCAGAAAAACAAAGCATTGGATTAATGTTGATGAAGATTCTCTTTTTCCCCTTATGCAGTTATGTTGTCTTCCTCTTTGTTACATTTGAATGATGGTGTCAGTTATAAACTATAATGCATTGTCTCATAAAGTATGTTAAGCAACCAGGAACAACGCTTTAACAGAAATCTTCTTTTTAGGGGTAGAAAGAACGAAAAATTAACAAATAAAGCTGACTAGCTCTGTACAGTTAACGAGTTACTTCTCTTTACTTGTAAACAAGAAGTTCACAACGTATGCATAAGTAACTTGGGGAATGATAAACATACTGTTTTTAACTTCTCATACACTTTTGTTTAATCATGTCTATTGTTTCTGTTTTATTTATTCAATTTGATGACTAAAAACAAAAAGATGTGTGTGAGAAGCTAAAAATAGCGTGTGAAAATCACCTCTCAAGTAAAATAGTTTATGCACACGTGAAATTGCATGTAACGACGAATGAGTCCTTTGCGTATAACGAGGCACTTATCTACCTCTTCAAAGTAGCTTCTACTCTAGCTTCTCAAAATCACAATGTACTCTCACACACACACAAGAATGGTCCAAAGAAATCAACAAAGGTGGTCCAACCCAAGTTACTTGCATTACACAACTCCTACTCAACCATAAAGTCTAGTTCAAATGTAGTGGCAAATAAGAAGGAACACAAGGAAGGTGCATTGATGTTTCAATGTTTGGGTTGGGAATTCAGTCAAATGAGCCATCAATACATTGAAGGGTGGAATGTAAAATGCAGTGCATTAATCGGTCAGCTTCTGCAGCCCGACAAACAAGTAAATTTAGTCAGTGTTTTCTATGGTTCCAAAGAACTCTGAGACAGAGAGACTTATGAATCATGGTCATAGATCATCGAATGGGTAAACCTGAGCAAAAATTATTTGATGTTTATGAAAATCTGATACTCCAAGTGTTTTAACTGTTAAATTTTAAATTTTATATATTTAAATGGATATCTAATAATTAAAATATTCGGAATACATTGATATCGCAAGAAAGCACCCTTAAAGCCTGCTACATTTGAATTCTGAGTGTGCTGTCTAACTTTTGACTTTTTTGTCCAACGGTTATCATTTGGATGCAAAAGCCCAATTTTTGTGGTAGGATAAACGTGGACGGCAGCAAATCATTTTTTGTTTTGGTCGGGTATTGGACAGCATTACAAGATTAAGCGATTTGAGCTCATGAAAATAATGTGTGGGTGAACAAAGATATGAGGAAAAGGACAATGAAGAAGCGTGGTGAAAGAAAGACGGTATAATAGATGTAGAAAAAAATATGTAACCATGCGTACAAAAAAATGTAGAAAAAAATGTAATCATGTGTAATATCTACACTAAAGTCATATTCAATGGACAAGGTTAAAGGCCCAAAAGCTAAAAAATAGCTTGATTTGTCAAAAAACTCATCTCCAATCAATGACGAGACTATAATTCTATGGAGTCTACTAAAGTATTATTTGGCCAAAGGGGCATCAGACTAGTCAAATGTAGCCCCTTCTTAGCCTTTTTTTTTTAGCCCAGCTACTCAGTTGTAATGCAACTGATTCAAATTCAACGACTAAATTTTAAAACATTCAATGGTAGTTTAACTAAATTAACCAATAATTTTAAAATATAAACGTAAAACTAATAAATGATTGAGCGGGCTATATTTATGACACACCCCGTCCCGAAGGAGGGCATGCTGGCCGTCACGTGAGAGTGACGTAACCATTTACACAGTTCGGAAGCTTTAAAAAAATTTCCAATTACCAAGATAACACACCCGAGGGTGAGTCCTACTTTTGTGAATTCTGTCAGAACACCGTTGGATTCCTCGTGGCCACCAAAGCTCTGCTAACTTGAACCTGGAGGGGCGCAAAACAAAATTGAGTGGGTCAGTAAAACAAAGTTTTTCGAAAACTTTTCATTTAAAACATTTCTAACCCCTCACCGTAAAACCTGTATACTTTCCCAGAAAATAGCATATATATAAACATATATATAAGCAAAAAAAATCTCAAATCTCAAACCTTTAACACTTTTCAGAAATATATATATATATATATATATAACCATATGAAATCTCAAAGCTTGAATCCCAAATCTTTAACATTTTTCAAGAAAAACATGCCATGCCATAAATCAAAATATAAATCAGGTGAAATAAGGAATCAATCGGAGACCCTGCAGTTGGTCCTATACGATTAATTCAATAGCTCAATATCTCACTAAGTCGGAGTCACCACAGTGACCTATACGGCCCTACTCTGCACATCACTCGGAACTACGTAAGGTAGTCTATACGATGAAAGGTGTAAAATACGCTCTAGTGCTTCTCTCATCATATCATCAGCGCGCATATCTAAGGTCACCCACCAGTCGGAACCCCTCTAATGGTCTGTACGACTGGCATGTCGGAACCCTCACATGGTCTGTACGACATCCACCTACTTGGATCCAAGGCGAGCGTGCGGTGTGGTGAATAACATAAGCACTAACACCTAGGGTGCAGATTATGAGCTCAATTTATCTCAACATCAAATAATTCAATGAATAAATGAACTCACCTGACTTACCTGTGCCTCCACAGCACCATGCAATATGTATGCATCATATATCAATCATGTAATTCATATAACAATTCACATTTTCAAATAATTCTATGCATGGCATTTAAAAACATATTTTCACTTAAATTCATTTTCTGGGAAAAATCAATAGTATAAAGGTAATACGAAAACAAAACTGCCCACTCACCTGGAGTTCGCCCACAACTCCCTAGCACCGTACATCAAGGCGTCATGACGATTAGCGCCTAGAACAACAATCAAATCCAACCTCAGAAATTCTGCCGATAGAATACATAACTTATATAAGACACGTCACTACGTAGTTCGATCCGGATGATCTGCAATTCAGATTTCAAATCCGTAACTTCCAGAGGTCCACAATATACCTCTAGGACAACATCCTAAAATTTCATTACCATCCAATGGTCGGATCTCCGTCAATTTCCAAAACTAAGTGACGGTTAACATTCTATTTTATGAACTTACAACTTCAATTCCGGAAGATCCGTAAATCGGATTCCCAATCCGTAAGTTCCTATAATCCTCAAATATTACGTATTACAACGTATCAAAGTTTGATGACGATCCAACGGTCGGATCGTCAATTCACATTTTCACCTAACCACGAATCGTAACCAACTTAGGTTCAATTATTCAATTTACGTCCATCAATTATCAAAACAGAACCTAGAACCTTAATCACAAGCTAATAATGACATTGGCGGGCCATTGGCCACGCGCCGCCGCGCGGGCCGCCGCGGGTGGCGGTTGGCCGCCCCGGCCCGCCGGAAAATTCAACTATTTCCAAAAATTACTAAAATTTGCAGATTTGAAGATCTCAATGAGTAGAACAACTTTAATACCTGAGGCCAAGGCCAATTTGGCCTGGAAGTGCTTCAATTTCACCAAAACCGTGAAGAACCCTAGAATTGGGTGTTTCCAATTCGACCTTCAAACTTGTTCCAATGCCTCAATTACCTCTTGGGCTTTGTTTTAGGTCCTAAAGGAATGCTAAAGGTGTTAGTAATTGAAAGAAAACATTTCAAAATTTGGAGAATTTAAACAAAAGGGTCGCGGCACCCGTAGGGGTGTTCTTCGCGAAATCACAACGAAATTCAATGATTCTTAGGGTGAAACGTGAAGAGGGAAGGCCTAGATGATGATTAGGAGTGGTACCTTGACTCAATTCGTCGGAAAATTGGACGAAAATGGCGAAAACCCGCCGATTGGAAGTCGCGGGTTGCGCGGGTATACGGGTTGGGGAAAACCCATTTCTTCTTCTCTCCTCCGCTTCTCGCCCTCTCTCCTTTCCTCCTTTCCTTCCTCTAGTTGGTCAGCTTCTCCCTCTCTCTTCTCCCCATTCGGTCTCTCCTCCTTCTTCTCCGATTGGGCAGCTTTGCCCAATCCCTCTTCTTTTCTGTTTTCTGTTTCTTCTTCTCATACACATACACACACCAAAAACCTTTCCCTCATCCCAGCCATCCATTTCATTCATCAATAAATCTGGGCCGTCCAATTTCATAAAAGAATTTCTATATTTTACTAAAATTATAATTCTTTAAAATTCCAAATTTCAAACGTTAATAACTTCTTCGATATAACTCCAAATCACGAACCGTCTGCGCCCACGCGTCCGTAACGACGAGTACTACGAGGATATGTCAAGAAAACAAATCTTAGATGGCACGACACAACGATTGACCTCGAATGATGTGCGTGCCTCAAAGGGCATTTTTGTAAAATCCTTTATTAAAACTTTAAAAATTCTTAAAATTAGGGACGGGCTGTCACAATCTACCCACCTTACAGAAATTTCGTCCTCGAAATTTACACAATCTTTACAATCCATCAATATCCATGAAACAGCCCGAAACACATCTCTCTCATTCGATTCTTTGACTTCTAAGTAGCTTCTTCCACTGAAAGATTCCTCCATAAACATTCACCAAACTCATAGTCTTATTTCTCAGTACATCATCTTTCTAATACAAGATAGGCACTGGCTCCTCATCATACGTCAAATCCATATTGACTTCCAAAGGTTGAGAAGGTATCACTCGTGAAGGATATGAGGTTTAATGTCGAAGTATCGAAACATAAACATATCATGCCCTTTCATCGGCTCTGGAGGCAACTCAGCCTGTACGTAACTTCACTGACTCGTTCGATGATCACAGATGGTCTGACGTATCTAGGACTTACTTGTTTTTCTTTTTAAAACGAATCATACTTTTCCAAGGTGATAATTTCAAAATCATTCAATCACCTACATATACATCCGGTCAGTGGCATGTTTGTCTGCTAAGCTCTTCAGCCGATCCTGGCCCACTTCCAGGTTAGACTTAATTACTTGAATATTCCGAATAGTCTCATCCACTAGCTCAGGGCCTTGAATACTATCCGTCCCCCAATTCTAACAATTTCGAAACACAAGACATAGCTTTCCACGGCCTTATGGCGTTAC